TTTATTTAAAATCTACTGACCATAAATATAACAGTTTATCCCTGTACTCTTAATTCTGTCCCATAATGTACATATCTAGTTTTATACTGTAAAAGTGCCACGGTGTCCTGATAACTACAGTAAATGTTGAAATAGGAAAGTATGAGTCTCCTGACTTTGTTCTTTTTTACAGATTGTTTTCACTATTCTGGGTCCTTTGCATTTCCATGTAAATTTTAGGATCTGTTTGTCAATTTCTGCTAAAACTTTGAGAGAGATTTTGTTGACTCTATAGATCAATTTGGGAAGAAGTGTCATCTTAACAATATTGAGTCTCTCAATCCACAAACATTAAGTATTTCTCCATTTATTTAGATCTTCTTTTAATTTAAAAAAATTTTTTTTATTGATTATGCTGTTACAGTTGTTCTATTCCCCCTTTCATTCCCCTCCACCCTACCCCCCCATCCCCACCATTACCCCTCCTTTAGTTTATGGCCATGTGTCTCAAGTCCTTTAGATTCTATATTTCCCATGCTATTCTTGCCCCCCCTTCTATTTTCTATCTACTGTCTATGCTACTTATTTTCTGTACCTTCTCCCCCATTCTCCTCCTCCCACTCCCCTGTTGCTAACCCTCCTTGAGATCTTCATTTCTATGTTTCCACTCCTGATCTAGCTGTCCTTTTAGTTTGCTTTTGTTTTAGGTGTGGTTGTTAATAACTGTGAGTTTGTTGTCCTTTCACTGTTCATGTTTCTTTAACTTCTTTTTCTTAGATAAGTCCCTTTAACATTTCATATAATAAGGGCTTGGTGATGATGAACTCCTTGAATTTGATCTTATCTGAGAAGCACCTTATCTGTCCTTCCATTCTAAATGAAAGTTTTGCTGGAATAGAGCAATCTTGGTTGTAGGTCTTTAGATTTCATGACTTGGAATACCTCTTTCCAGCCCCTTCTTGCCTGTCAGGTCTCTTTTGAGAAATCTGCTGACAGTCTGATGGGGACTCCTTTGTAGGTGACTGTCCCCTTAGCTCTTGCTGCTTCTAGGATTCTCTCCTTCATTTTAATTTTGGCTAATGTAATTATGATGTGCCTTGGTGTGTTCCTTCTTGGGTCCAACTTCTTTGGTACTCTCTGAGCTTCCTGGATTTCCTGGAAGTCTATTTCCTTTGCCAGATTGGGGAAATTCTCCTTTATTATTTGCTCAAATAAGTTTTCCACTGGTGGCTTTTCCTTTTCCCCTTCTGGTACCCCTATAATTCAGATGTTGGAGCGTTTAAAGATGTCCTGGAGGTTCCTAAGACTCTTCTCATTTCTTTGAATTCTTGCTTCTTGACTCTTTTCTGTTTGGCCATTATTTGCTTTCTTCTGGTCCACTCCATTGATTTGAGTCCCAGTTTCCTTTTCATTGCTATTGGTGTCCTGTGCAATTCCATTCATTTCAATTAGTTTCGCCTTCATATATTTGTCTAATTTGTGGCTATAATTTAGATCTTCTTTAATTTCTCTTAGCAATGCTAGTTTACAAGACTTATGCTTCTTTTGTTAAATTTGTTTTTTTTAAATCCACACTCAGGGATATTTTACCTTTTTATCTTTGCTTTTAGAGAGAGAGGAAGGGAGAGAGAAAAACATTGATCCAAGAAACATCATACTGGAGTACGGACCCAGAGTGGGGATTATATGCGCCTAGATCAGGGATCAAACCCACAACCCAGGCATGTGCCCTGACCAGGAATTGAACCTGCAACCTTTTGGTTTATGGGAAGATGCTCCAACCAACTGAGCCTCAACAGCCAGGATGTTATATTTATTCTTAAGAATTTCATTCTTTTTGATGCTATTGTGAATAGAATTGTTTCTTAGTTTCATTTGAAGATTATTCATTGCTCATATACAGAAATACAATTCAAATTTGTATACTGATTTTGTATCCTGTGACCTTGCTAAAACTTGTTATTTCTAATAGTTCTTTAGAGATTCCTTAGGATTGTCTACATACAGAACCATGTTATCTATAAACAAAGACAATTTTACTTTCTTTCCCATCTTGATGCCTTTTATTTTGTTTTCTTACTTAATTGTACTAGAGGATTGAGTATTTGTATTTTTATTAAGCACTTAGGTGACAGTGATGCTGCTGATCAGGGGAATAACACTTGAAGAGCCACTGCTCTAAAGAATATAGTTGGAGAGGTTGTGGGGAAAAGGGGACCTTAGTTCACTGTTGGTGGGATTGCAGACTGGTACAACCATTATGGAAAACAGTATGGAATTTTCTCAGAAAAATAAAAATTGACCTGCCTTTTGACCCAGCAATTCCACTGCTAGGATTATACCCTAAGAACCCTGAAACATCAATCCAAAAGAACCTATGCATCCCAATGTTCATAGCAGCACAATTTACAACAGCCAAGTGTTGGAAGCAACCTAGGTGCCCATCAGTAAATGAATGGATCAAAAAATTGTGGTACATATACACAATGGAATTCTATGCTGCAGAGAGAAAGAAGGAGCTACCACCCTTTGCAACAACATGGATGGAACTGGAAAGCATTATGCTGAGTGAAATAAGCCAGGTGTTGAAAGACAAATACCATATGATCTCACCTTTAACAGGAAGCTAAACAACAAAACAAACAAGCAAGCAAAATAAAAACAAAGACACTGAAATAGAGAACAAGGGGACAGTTACCAGAGGGGAGAGGGGAGGGAACTTAAGGGGAAAAAAGGGGGAGGGATTTAGAGGAACAAGTATAAAGGACACAGGGATAATAACTAAGGGGGGTGGAAGTGGGAGGGAGGTGGGGAGCATGGGGTGGGGTGGGCTGGGATGCGAGAAATAGAAAACTGTACTTGAAAAATAACTAAATACAATTTTAAAAAAGATTAAAAAAAGAATATATATCACAGAAAGGATATGATACTAGAGGAAAGTAATGGAAAAGAAGTGAGTATGATAATATATCACATATATAAGATCCTCTCTTTCTAGATACTGTGAAGGAAAATGATTGAAATGATCAGAAATGTCTAAGTGTAATTACTCTGGAAGAAATACAAAAATGGGATTATCCAATTAAAGTTTTTGTGTTTTATATACATAAAAACCTTTAAAAACCTTAAAATGTTACTGTCAGTGACTGGAAAGAAGTTAAAATGGTATGGACTGTCCATTAAGGGATTACAGTTATATATAAAGTACCACATCAAAGGTATTAACATGAAAATCACAATAAAACAATAACAAAAATAATGTTAAAAGCAAATAATATCTATGGAACACTTATAACTACTTAGTACTATTCTAACTGCTATAATGTATTAATTCATTAAAACCTTACAACAACCATATAAGTTAGTTATTATCATCCCCATTTTACAGATAAGGAAATTGAGGCACAGAGAATTTAAATAACGTGCTCAAGTTTACACAGATTGTTAAGTGTCAGAGCCAGGATTCACTTAAGGCAATGTAGCTCCAGATCCCACTCTTTTACTATAATGCTATATTTCTTCTTTTTCTTCTGGCCGCCAAAAATAAAAATTTCCTACCTCTGACTAAGAACAAAAGTAATTTTCTATTGCTTTCTGTGAACTTCCCTTTTAATCACTTCAAAGGGAGTCATACAAATTCCCTTGTTGCCCACCATTCAAAAAGGTTAAAAACAGTGCCTGGGTGGAAGGATGGTATGTAACTGTTCACGTCTGAAAATAACTTGTGTGGTGGGCTCTGGAAGCCAGGGAAATTGCAATCTCTATTCTAGAAACTTGCAGAAAAGGCAGAATAAGAATTACTTCCTTGAGGAGGTTAGGTGTAGCATGCTATAAGCAGAGTGGCTGAATCACTCAAAAGGATACAGCTGTAGCAGAAGCTGAAAAACTCATAAGTCTGCTGATGTCCCTAATTCCAGGTTGTTTCATGGGTCATGAAACTCTAAATATTACAGCAAAGGGATGTGGTAAATTCACATGACCCCTTTCTGCTGTGACAGCTTGGCCCTGTCCAAGTAAATCTTAGTCACCACTTTGGCTAGGTTAGGCCCAAGTCTGATTTTGTGGCAGAAGAAATACTGCACATATTTCTTGTGATTGGGGCAAATCTGAGCCATATGGTAAAAGGCCTGTACTTAGCAATGAAAAGTTCCACCCCAGAGTAATGTCATACAGGCCAAAGCGGCATTATAATTAAGAAGACTTTAAGGAAGAATTGAGAAAGTAGCATAATTCACCTTTCTTGGAGAGGGGAGGAGAACTAACTTCAAAAACAGCTGACCAAAATTCACTTTGGATAATACGATATTTTTCTTTTGTAGGCTATACTGGTTCAGGTGTATATCAAGGCATACAAATGAAAAGTCTTGGGAAACTTGTTTGGGCACCATCTTAATAATTAGTTTTGCCAAGGACTTGTAAAACAAAGAAATAGGAGCTAGTTCGAACCTCTGCTGCAAAAACAACTGGCAGAAAGCCTTAACTAGGAATAACCATCCTCAGCAATGACATGAGAAAATTTCCCTTGCTCCACAGCAGTGCTATCCAGGAAAATTTTTTGCAATGATGGAAATGCCCTGTATCTACACTGTCCAATACGGTAGCCACTGGTCACTGAGCACTTGAAATGTGCTAGTGTGACTGAGGAACTGACCTTTTCATTTTAAGTATTTGATTATGCTATTACAGTTGTCCCATTTTTCTCCCCTTTAACTGCCTCCACCTGGTACCCCCATTCCCTATAGCATCCCCCCAACCTTAGTTCATGTTCATGGGTCATACATGTAAGTTCTTTGGCTTCTCCATTTCCTATACTATTCTTTTTTATTTTTTAATTAGGAAATATTTTATTGTACAAAATTTACATTTGTTGCACATGATAAAAACCATAGCAACAACTAGCTTTTGCTAATTCATTTTTTTCTGTGAAAAGTAAAGATTATTTTCTGATATGGTAGATAATACTGCTTTTTATACAGTTAACAGTTTTGAGGACACAATTGTCTTAGGACATAAGGTGTAAACTAAAAACAGATAAAAAAAAGTGCAGGGGGAAGACCACTACCGAAGAGTAATCTCCAAAAACTTGGCATTTTCCATGGCAAGGCAGATGCTGTGGGGTCATCACACTGTAGATGTGGTTTGATTATCTGAAGCCATTCATTAAGATACTCAACAAGACCTAATGAATCTGGGATATTGTCTCTTTCTGAAACAAATTTCAGCAGAACCACCATTGGGATTTCTTTAGAACAGCCTTCATCATAGAGTGTTTTTGTGATACCTCCACCAGGAGCATGGATACAAAACTCAGAATCACTTATTTCAGGAATGCATGGGCAATTTTCCATTCCTTCCCAATTAAGGCTCTTTATTTTATTTTGAACACTTTTTTGCATGGAAGGTGTAAGTAGGTATCTGAAAGGTGTACTGCGAAGCTGTAGATCATTATGATGATATGAATGATTGCTTGCGAGAACAATAACTTTGGCACAGTTGCTACTTTTCACCCAGGAAAGCAGTTTTTCACAGAATGCCTTTGACTTATACTTAATAAAAATGGATCTTAACTGAAGAGCCACTAGCTTCTTTGAAGGCAATGAATATTCTTCAGCATTTATACTGAGTTCTATTGAATTTTCTTCTGATGTTGCATATGGATTGTTTCCAACCATCGGCACAAGACAATCGGTATAGAAGTAACCAATCTTAGACATATTCAGTGTAGAAATAATTAGATTTATTGCAAGCTGGCCAGCATTTCCAACGGATACTGCTGGCATCAAGAGGGTGAAACCCGCAAAACTGAAGACTGATTCTTGGGAACAAAGCAGGGAACAAACATGGTCACACTGAAGTGGGGAAAAGGAGGTAAGCCCTGGTCTGGCAGGAACGAGGTGAGAAAAACAAAAATCGCAAGTTCCAGCAGTGTGTGAGACCTCGAATCCCCCTATACTATTCTTAGCCTTCTCTTGTCTACTTTGTACCTACCCATTATACTTCTTATTCCTTGTACCTTTTCCTTCATTCTTCCCCTTCCCCCTCCCAGCTGATAACCTTCCATGAGATCTCAATTTCTCTGATTCTGTTCCTGTTCTGGTTGTCTGTTTAGTTTGTTTTTGTTTTTGTTTTAGGTTCACTTGTTGATAGTTGTGAGTCTGTTGTCATTTTACTATTCATAGCTTTCATCTTCTTTTTCTTAGATAAGTCCTTTTAACATGGTATGTAATAAAAGCTTGGTGATGTTGAACGCCTTTAAACTTCACCTTATCTGGAAAGCACTTTATCGGCCCTTATATTCTAAATGATAGCTTCGCTGGATAGAGTACTCTTGGATGTAAGTCCTTGCTTTTCACAACTTTGAATTCTTCTCACCCGCCCCTTCTTGCCTGCAAGGTTTCTTTTGAGAGATCAGCTGATAGTCTTATGGGAACTACTTTGTAGGTAACTCTCTTCTTTTCTCTTGCTGCTTTTAAGATTCTCTCTTTATCTTTAATCTTTGGCATTTTAATTATAATGTGTCTTGGTGTGGCCTTCTTTGTGTCCAACTTGTTTGGGACTCTGAGCTTCCTAGACTTTTATGTCTATTTCTTTCCCCAGACTGGAGAAGTTTTCTTTCATTATTTTTCCTTTTCTTTTTTTTTTTTAATTTTATTTAGTTATTTTTCAAGTACAGTTTTTTAAAAATTTTATTTAGTTATTTTTCAAGTACAGTTTTTTGTCTATTTTTCCCATCCCAGCTTCCCCCCGCCCCTTGCTCCCCACCTCCCTCCCATTTCCACCCCCCTTAGTTCTCGTCCCTGTGTCCTTCCTATTTGTTCCTCCAAATCCCTCCCCCTTTTTCCCCTTAACTTCCCTTCCTTCTCCCCTCTGGTCACTATCCCCTTATTCTCTATTTCAGTGTCTTTGTTTTTTTTTCTGCTTGCTTGTTTGTTTTGTTGTTTAGCTTCCTGTTAAAGGTGAGATCATATGGTATTTGTCTTTCAGCACCTGGCCTATTTCACTCAGCATAATGCTTTCCAGTTCCATCCATGTTGTTGCAAAAGGTAGTAGCTCCTTCTTTCTCTCTGCAGCATAGAATTCCATTGTGTATATGTACCACCATTTTTGGATCCATTCATTTACTGATGGGCACCTAGGTTGCTTCCAACTCTTGGCTATTGTAAATTGTGCTGCTATGAACATTGTGGTGCATAGGTTCTTTGATATTGATGTTTTAGGATTCTTAGGATATAATCCCAGCAGTGGAATTGCTGGGTCAAAAGGCAGGTCGATTTTTATTTTTCTGAGAAAATTCCATACTGTTTCTTTCATTATTTTTTCAAATAAGTTTTCAATTTCTTGCTCTTGTTCTTCTCCTTCTGGCACCCCTATGATTCAAATGTTGGAATGTTTAAAGTTGTCCCAGAGGTTCCTGAGCCTCTCCTTATTTTTTTGCATTCTTCTTTCTTCATTCTGTTCTGGTTGGATGTTTATTTCATCCTTTTGTTTCAAATAATGGATTTGAGTCCCAGTTTCCTTCCCTTCACTGTTGTTTCTCTGTACAGTTTCCTTTATTTCACTTTGTATAGCCTTCACTTCTTCCTTTATTTTGCAGCCATACTCAATCATTTCTCTGAGCATCCTGATTACCAGTATTTTCAATTCTGCATTTGATAGGTTAGCTATCTCTTCATCGCTTAGTTCTTTTTCTAGAGTTTTGATGTGTTCTTTCACTTGAGCCATATCTCTTGGTCTTGGCACAGACTGTTATATTGTAAGGGGTGCAGCCTTAGGTACTTGCCAGGGTGGGGCAACCCCCTTTGCACTGTTTGGTGCTGTATGTGGGAGAGTGGTTAGAGGGAGAAATGCTGCTTGCTTGACTCTCACCCTGCTTTCAGTCACTTTTCCCACTTCCCACAAGTGAATGGCATCCTTCCAGGTGTTGCCCTGGTGCTGATTCTTCGGTGAGTGGGCTTGTGTACATTCTAGGATGCTGTGGGCCCCTCCAATGGACTCTCCTGAGAGACTAGCAGTTTCGTCCATTGCCTCAACCCATAAAGGGGTTTACAGCCAGAGGTTCTGAGGTTTATTTTCTAGGCACTGAAACCCTGGGTTTTGTAGTCTGTCTCACTCCCCAGTTGTTCCTTCCAGTTTTTATCTGCATGTGAATGTGGGACCTCCATTTCTGCCAACTACCACCTTGCTGAGTGTCCTCTTTGCTCTGGCGTCCCATCTCTGCCCCTCCTAACAGTCTGGATGAATGTTTCTTTTTTAACTCCTTGGTTGTTGGACTTCATAGAGTTTATTTTTTTTTTTGGCAGTTCTGGTCGGTTTTTGCTTTCAAATTGGTTGTTATCCTTCTTTTGGTTGTGCAAGGAGGCAAAGCATATCTACTTACACATCTATCTTGGCTGCAAGTCTGACCTTTTAAGTTTATTTCTTTTTATCTTCACCCAAGGACACCCCTCCATTGCTTTTAGAGAGAAAGAGAGAGAGAGAGATATCAATGTGAGAGACAAACATTGACTGGCTGCCTCCCACATGTGCCTGGACCAGGGATTGAACCTGTAACCCAGCTATGTGTCTTGGTGGGAATCAAACCTACAGTCTTTCAGTGTACAGGATGACACCCAAACCAACTGAGCCACACTGGCCAGGGCTAATTTTATTTAATTTTAATTAATTTAAATTTATATCACTACATGTGGCTTGTAGCTATCATGTTGGACAGTTAGTTCAGCTCCATAGGATAATATTGTGACACACATAGTTTCCCCAAAATTCATATGTTCTCATAAATCTAGAGTGGTATACAATCATTTAGATATTTCACAACTTGATAATATTATTGCAACTTATGACAGATATGAAAATACTTTCAAAGAAAAGTTTTAGAGTTGGCAAGAAGTCACATGACTAAGGACTACTACTAATCAACCATTTAGAAGACACAGTTAATTTTTTTACAGTAGTCAAAAGCAATTCAAACGTAAGTTAGTTTTAAGACCGTAATATAATAGTTTCCCCTGTTGGAGGGAGGGGGAAATGCATTCCATATAATTTTTTCTCAGTGCTGAAAAGACTCCATTATTTTATGTTGGGTCTTTTAAAAAACCTTTTAAAGTTAAGTGGGCTTCCCCATATGGGGCTGCAATTACCAAAATTTGTTTTTTGGTTGGGTAGAGGATAAAGAGAGTGGTAAAAGTGGAAAGGTACCTAAGAAGAATAAAAAAAACGTGGGAAAAGTAATCAAAATATTTTCTAGTAGACCAAGGTAGTGGGGATTTTTACTGCTTTGCGATGGCTATTCAATCCTAGTTCCAATTCTAATTCAGTGTTGTTTCCATTGAACTAAACTCTCTCTCTTTTAAATCCTCACTTATGGATATGTTTATTGATGACAGAGAGAGAGTGGGAGAGAGAGAAGAGAAACAGTGACTGGTTGACTCCTGTATGCACCCCAACTGGGGATTGAGCCTGAGACCTAGGTATGTGTCCTCACTGGAATGGAACCCACAACTTCTTTGATATACAGGATGATGCTCCAATCAAGTGAGCCACCTGGCCAGGACTAAACCCACATGTTTTTGATCAAAATATTTGAGAAAACAATCATAGATAATAATAATAAATTGCTGTTTTTAAAGTAATTTGATGTCTGCTATAAAAATTTTAAATAATACAAATTTAACATATGATGAATCTTCCATTTATTATAACATTGTTTAGATTCATACTTACATATTACCTTACATGATTAAAAAACTAAAATCTAGTCTCAGCTGGTGTAGCTCAGTGGATTGAGCATGGGCCTGTGAACCAAAGGATCGCAGTTCCATTCCCAGACAGGGCACATACCTGGGTTGCAGGCCAGTTCCCAGCAGGGGACGCATGAGAGGCAACCATACACTGCTATTTCTCTCCCTCTCTCCTTTCCTTTCCCTCTAAAGATAAATAAATAAAATCTTTAAAAAAATCTTATTGAAATGGTGGTAATTTTGGGGAGCGAGAATTTAGCTATAAGAAAAACAATAGTTAACACTAGGATATATTCATGGGCCCTGAAACAGAATAAAAACATCATCATCAACTGTATCTGTGTGGCTTTTTGATGATTTCTTTAATTTACCTTTAGTTTCCTCCTTGCATTGAATTTCCTCAGCTGCTCTACTGTTTCTGGAAGATGAATCTTGTAAGCATAACGATCTCTTTCCTATAAAAGAAGAAAGACAATAAATACTCATAACTGTTCTAAAAGTGAAGAAGGTTAGTCTATAACAAATGATAAAGTCAAAATTATTAAATGTGAAACCTAGATTGAATTTTGGCAGGCTGGAGGTTTTATTCCACGATACTAATAAACATTCTTAAATGAGTCATAAGAAGGTCAAAACTATTAGAAAAATAATATTTTATTTTCAGCAATAATAAAGGGCTGAAATAATGGGGCATGTAATTTTCAGACATATGGCTAATTAATTAATCATATGATAATTAAGGTATGAAGTTACCGTTGATATGATCTTGTCAGGTAAAATGAGCATCTGAAAAATTCACAACTGATTCAGCAGTCTGAGTTGCTAAGAATAAATGGATTTAAAAAAAATCACAGCACCTTCAAACTAGAACAAATTTCAAGGCCATCTAATTCAAACATTTCCCCATGTGGGATCCTCTTCAATCCTGGATGGATGATCATCCTCTTTGACCTTGTCCAATAGTGGATCATTACTTTATGGCAGCCCATTACAAGTTTAAGAAAGTGAAAAAGTTCTTACTCATCTTGGACCCAAATTTGGCTTGCTTGGGCTAGCTCTATCTTCTGGGGCATCACAGAACAAACACTACCTATTGCATATAATACCCCTTCAGTAGTTAAGAATGGATTTCCACTAAATCCATTCTTCTCTGTGATAATATCTCCAGTAGTCTCAACTATTCCTTATGTATATTTCAATGTACTTGCCATTCTTTTCATCCCCCCATTTTGGTTCTACTCTAATTTCTCAATGTATCTTAAAGATTTATAGGCTATAAGTACTCATTTTAGAAATATTTCTTGAGAGCCTGCTATGTGCCAGGCATTGTTCTATGTACTTGGGATATACCAGTAAACAAAATCAACAAAGATTCAGGCCTGCATGTAGCTCATATTTTGGTGGGAGAAGATAAGAAAATTCAAAAAATATAAATTATAGAGTATGTTAAAAGTGCTATGGAATAAAGTAAAAAGTAAAGTATAGTAAGAGGCAGTGGGAACACTGCAACTTAAAATAGGGGGGTCAAAGTGGGCCCAATTGAGAAGGTGACATCCAAAAGAGATGAGAGAGTGGTCTAGGTAGAGAGATCAATGCAGAGGCCCAAAGGAGAGAGTATGGCTGGAATTTTCAAGAACTAGTAAGGAGACCCATATGTGGAGTAAATAGTAGATCAGATGCGAGAGGTGACAAGGCTTGGGTAGGACACAAAGGACCTATGGCTTTTATTCTAAGAGGGAGAGGGAGCCACTAGAGGGTTTTGAGCTGGAGTGACATCATCTAACAACTTTAAAGGGACACTCTGTTTGTTCTGTTGAGAATAGATTGGAAGAGCCTGAGGGTTAAAAAAAAAGCAGGAGGGAGGTCAGGTAAGAGGCTATTGCAGTAATCCAGGGGAGAGATGGTGGTGGATGAAATCAGATGGAAAAAATAGAAAGGGTAAAAAGGTCAACTCTGAATATATTGTTTTATTTTCTCCCAGAACTTTTACTACAGTATAATTAGTGTAAATGAAATTATACACTATGTACTCATTATTGTCCAGCTTCTTTCACTCAGCATAAAGATTTTGCACTTCATCCATACTGTTATGTGTATCAATAATTCATTCCTTTTTATTGCTGAGTGGTATTCCATTTTAAGGATACCCCATAATTCGTTTATCCATTCACCTGTTGAAGGACCCTGGGTTTTTTCTAATTTTTGTCTATCACAGATAAAGTTGCTATGAACACTAATGTACAAGTCTTTGTATGGACATACATTTCATTTTTCTTAGGTAAATATTTATGAGCAGAATGGCTGGATTATATTTATTTATAAGAGTATGTTTAACTTTTTGAGAAACTGTCAAACTGTTTTGCAAAGAGGCTATACCATTTTACATCTCCATAGCAGTTTATCAGTTCCAGTTGTTCTACATTGTCACCAACACTTGGTGCTGTTAGTCTTTTTCATTTTAGCTATTCCGATACATGTATGCACAGATGTCTCATTGTGGCATTAATATGTATTTCCCTAATGACTAAGGATGTTCAGCAACTTTACATGTGCATATTTGTCATTCATATATCTTCTTTGTTGAAGTGTCAGTTCAAATCTTGTCCCATGTTGAACTGGGTTTTCTTATTATTGAGTTTTAAGAATTCTTTATATATTCTGGATATAAGTCCTTTATCAAATATATATTTGGAAATATTTACTCTCAGTTTGTGGCTTGTCTCTTCATTCTTTTACAGTGTCTTTCCAAGAAAAGAAGTTCTTAGTTCTGAATATATTTTGAAGCTAGAACAGGATTTTCTAACAGATTGGATGTGGGGTGTGGGAGAGACAGGAGTCATGGACTCCAAGGTTTTCACCAAGGTTTTCAACTAGAAGTAACTGGAAGTCTGCCACCCACTGAGGTGGGAAAGGCTGCAGATAAAATAGATTTTGGGGAGAGGGTGAGATGGAGAAGAGATCAGGACTTCAGTTTTGGATATGTTATGCTTGAGATACATAAAGCTCAAGTGGAGATTCAGGTAGGTGCTTGGACAAATAAGCCTGAAGATCAGAATAGGTCTGGGCTGGAAATAAAATATTTTGGGGGGGGTCATAAACATTTAGAAGGGATTAAGTATTAAATTAGTACTTAACTATATCCCAAGCACTGAATTTGGGACTTTCACAGGCATTATCCCATTTCTTTAAAAGAACTATATAAGATAGTAGAGATAATGCTATACATTAGTTATTTCAAAAGTTGTGGCTCAAACTGGACATAATTGTCTCATCACAGCTAGCATTTACTGAGGATGTACTGTGTGTCAGGCTGTTCTAGAGCTTTACATGTTTATATTATTCATTTCTCACAAATGAGGTATGTATCATTATTAATCTATTACCTACTTAAAAAAATGAGATGCATTATACCAGATGAAGATTAACTAGTATAAAGTGAAGTGAGCCTCTTACTTTCCTTGATCTGTATACTATATAATCCTTGTAAATTAAGTTCAAGATAGTATTATTATTATTACTATTATTTTGTAACTAAAACTCTTGTTTGCATATGAGCCATTTCTAAATTCAAATGTTTTGGTATTACCTACTTACAAAATTTATTTTTGAATTTAAATGTAGAATTTTACAGTTAGCCCTGTCAAAATTTCACCTTATTATCTGAAAATTCCTAAAAAATAAATAAAAGTACTTCAAAATTTATTTATGTATTAATGACTAACTGGAATTCCACAGGAGAGAAAAATTATATTTTTCTTTAGTACACATACAACACTCATTGCTAAAATGATTACAAGTTTCATCTCTGCTAGATTCTATGTGCTAATAAACATCTTGGAAATAATTTTTCATTATCTTCAGGGACTTAACCTTCTTCCCCTGCACTGAGCAAAGCAGGTTCACCAAAACAGAAAACATAAAAATTTATCAAATAATTATCTAGCAGAGAGAAGGATAAAATTACCATTTTAGAACAAGCAATGGAATATTTTAATGGATTGTGGTTACTGATTATGGATGATAAATTTGACTTGTGTAATACATGGTGATGTTTAATTAACACAAAGTGTACCTCTGAATTCTGTGAGCTGTCTAGCAAGTAATCAAGTCCAAAGATAGGGGGTCATGAAAATCTTCAATTTGCAGCTAAGTGGGATAAAAGTTGTGGGTTACCTATTACTTTTGGGGACTTACTACTTGCAAATGGCAACTAAAATGAGAGGCAGCCTCGGTGGGACTGATCTCTTAACCTGTGGAGTCTACAATAACTCCAGGTAGTGTCAGAATTTAATTGAAATGCAGGACACCCTGCTGGTGTCAAGAGAAGTGCTTGGTGTGGGAAAAAACCCACACACATGTGGTGTCAGAAGTGTTGTGAGTGAAGTAGTAGTGTAAGAACAAAGGACAAACACACACAAGCATTTCCTAAACAGTTACATATCATATAATACTGTTCATATACTAATTAGAAAGGACAAAAATTACAGTGATGGACAAGGGATCAGTAGCTACCAGGGATTAGAGCTGGGAGGAGGATGTGATTATTAAGGAATAGTATGAAGGGTGACAGAACAGTTCTATAACTTGATTATGGTGATGGTTTTATAATTCCATACATGTGATAAAATTTCATAGAAACACACGCACACACAGGAATCTATACAAAAACTGGTGAAATTCAAATAAGTTCTGTGGTTTAGTTAATAGTAGTGTTCCAATGTCAATTTCCTACTTTTGATAATTGTGTTATGGTTATACAAGATGGAAATTTCCCCATTGGGGGGAAATAGTGAAGAACACATGGGAGCTCTATACTATGTTTTGCTACTTTTTTTGTGAGTCTAAAATTATTTCAAAATAAAAAGTTTAAAATACATTATTTCCACTCTACATGTTTGATTCTCCTATGGGCTTCCTAATTCTATATAACTCCAATTACTCACTGAGCCTCATCAATTTTCCTTAAAATTTCTGTCTGAGTATCGCTTTCCCACTCCCACTTTTACTCCTTGGTCTAGGCCTCCATCATGTCTTGATTGGACAGCCATAATGTCTATAGGATCTCTTTGCTTCTACTGCTGTCTGATTCTTAACAGGCAACCCATCTTCACACAGTGTCCAGAGGAATTATATGACCATGCTGCTTGTACTGTATCATCACTCAAAAGGTAGCAGCAGCTTTTTACTCTCTACACTCTAATATCCAAAGTACTTAATTTGGTGTTCTAGACTATATAATCTTCCCTCAAAGCAAAATTTCCAGTATACTACTGCTACAATCCTTTAAATAGCTGACATTTGTACAGTAGCGACCCCCCTCATCTGTGGTTTCATTTATCTGTGATCAACTGGAAAAATTAAATGGAAAATTCCAGAAATAAAAAATTAATTCATAAGTGTTAACTTGTGCATTGTTCATTGTAGCATGATGACATCTCATGCTGTCCCACTCTAT